CATCCCATCCCATTCCATTCCACACCATCCCATCCCATCCCATTCCACACCATCCCATCCCATCCCATTCCATCCCATCCCATCCCATTCCATCCCATCCCACACCATCCCATCCCATCCCCCTGGTGCCTCGGGTACAGCGACCGTTCATCACAACACCTCACCCACACACTGCAGATCCAACCCGACTGCTGACAGCATTTTCTATTCAGAGGTGGTGGCTGTGAACCTCACTAACTTTGGGTTGCATCCTTGAGAGGTAGTGACTGTGTCCTTTTAAAGCACCAACACATTGGACACGAGCAGGAAAGGATCAAGTTAAATGTAAGATTTGTTGCCTCCCAGGTTTCACCTCTGCATCTTCAACTGGAAAAGTTCAAGAATAAAACTGGGCAGAGCACTAAAAGGAATGACCCCCAAAGTCTCCTGTGACTGCCATCCTGTGTCCTCAGGCATCTTCCAGGAGGTGGAAAATCGAGGTGCCCTTACAGCTTCACACCCTCACCTTCCCAAACAGCACACTTGGCTCAAACAGGTACGGGGGAAGAGGGAACTGACTGCACAAGTAAAGACAAAGGGCACTTGTGATGCCAGCACTGCTCTTCCCATAAATCTCCTTCCTTCTATATTAAAGGAACCCATTGACAGCAAATGCATTTTTCAATATTTCAGCCAAATATAGAATCGCAGTGAACTCAGTCATAAATTCCCCAGGAGGCAGAGGGCTGGCTGGGGAGGAGGGAGAGGCTCTGCTGTTACACAACAGCACCAGGATGCCCTACTTTCACAGATCCTTCACTGCCAACTTGCTCCTTCCCCTCGCCTGCACCGCACCGGCTGCGGCCCCTCTGCGCGGCCACCCTCCCCTGCAACCAGCAGGAAAACCCTCCCAGCACTGGGAACCAGCATCCCCATCCTCTGCAGGAACTGTGAGGGCACTGCCGTGGCACAGAAGCTGTCTGGGAGTCACTGCAGCCAAAACCAAACTCAGGCAGCACGGGCTGCAAACCAACACAGGAGGAGCAGAAGAGCCCGGGCAGACCTGCCGCTGTTCCCTTCTGAAGTCACACACTTCTCATGGCAAAGCACAGCACAAGATGCTCTGAGAACAATACTCTGTTCCTTACAGCCTCTTTTTGAGTCTATCTCCGGAGGAAAAACTCGTGTTTGTTAAAGCCCAACACATGTGAGAAGCCACGACAAAGCAAATAAAGCTGCAGAGGTTTAAGTTGCAGGCAGGACTTTACGGTTTATGGGTCGCAGAGATCTGTACTTACTCATCTCCTCTTGTATTACCAACTGCAAGAGGAAAATGATCCTTAAGCTCTTAAGAAGCAAGAGGACAGGGAAATTGCTGGAGAGAGAAAGGGAGTGCTGAAGTACACGCTCTGTGAATCAGGCCAGCCTCTCCTTCTATTCCCTGCAGGAAACCTAAGGGATAAACAGCAAGGGGATGCTGTTCCCCTGAGCACTGTCCCAGCACACCACAAGAAATCCCCTCCACAGGGTTTTTCCAGGCAGGCAAGTCTGCCCTGCCCCTGTCCAGCTGACCAACTCCAAATGGGGCTCTTGCCCCCTTTCCCACCTCCCCTTTGAGCCACGGGGAGGGCTGAGGTCTTGAGCCAAGGTGCTGCAACCTTCCCCCAGCATGTGCCAGAGGTGTGCTGGCACCTGGGACACCCACAGCCCGCACACACATCCCTGGCTGTTCTGCCTCGGCCAGTGGCCCTCATGGAAGCTCCAGCTGCACAAAGATCTTATAGCACTCTACAGGATTGCATTAAAAATACATGGAACACGCAGGGAAGGGCCCTTCCCGACGCGGCTCCGCTGCCTGGAGCACCTGCACTGAGATAACACTGAGCAGCACCGGCTCTCTGGGGGAGCTCCTCTGTTTTATCATCTTGGCTGGATGTTCAGGGATGGTTGAGCACAGGGGTGGTGTCACACCAGCACCTGCTCCTGCCCCACTCCTGCGGATCAGTCGGATCCTGCTGCTCCCCCAGCCCTCCCCACCCAGTCCCAACACACCAGCAGCCCTGGGGGAGGCCGAGGACCTCCCTCTGGGGGCCTGTCCTTCCTGCTCATTTGACAAAGACCACATTCCCAACACCATGCCTTCACTGACAGCTCTGAAGAGGATCAAGAAAACATCTGTCAAACTCCGAAGACCCTTTCTGTGCCCCTGACATCCAGGGATGTATTGCCTCGTGGAGGTGGCCAGAGCAAGGGGAGACAGCCCAGCAGCAGACCCTGTCATCTCCTGCTGCCTGAAGATGCTTCCAAATATCCCCTCCCAAGCCCTGAGACAAGCAGCTTGTCCAAACCAGAACCCCAGACACCACCATGTTCTCTGAAGGGAGATCCACGCTTGTCCTGGCAACAAGGAGTCCTGATGCAGCTCCCACCCTACAGCTGATGGCCTCTCACCTGCTCCAAGGCACAGGAAGGAGCACCAGCCCTCCCAGGACAAATCACTCATTTTGGGAAGTGTATTGCACCAGTCTGGGGTCAGCACAAATGAGCAGAAAGAACTGTGAGTTTCAACACCCACTGATCAATACCCCAGGTGTGCAGAATTTTCTGTTCCATCTCACTGCCATGACACATTACCCAGCCAGGATCCCTGTGACAGATAATCAAACCTCTTCTCCACCTTTCCTTTATTAATCCTCACTTAATCCTCTTTCAGATTTTCACTGCAGCTTTCATTAAGGGAAGTCTGATTTGGGAAAGGCATCAAAAGGCATCACCTTGACACTTGTCACTCCAGACCCCCACGAACACACCTTCACAGAGCAGCAGCACTTCAGCAAACCCCAGGGCTCTGCTGCTCCCTCATCCCCATCTGACACAGGGCAGAGACCCCAGAAGCCAAAAAGACAAATGTCTGACACTGTAAAAAGGTCAAGTGGCCACCCAGCTCCCAGGCCTGCTATCTGAACCATGAGCTGAAGGGAACTGTCTGCTCCTCCTCTACCATGCCACTGCACCAGGGATACACCTGACACTGCTGGGAACCGAGGGGAAAACAACCAAGTTAGAGCTTTAAACAGCTCTGGAGCAGAGCTCCTGCACCCCAGGATCGAGACACAGGAGCAGCCTGGTGGGACAGGTGCCTGCACCAGTGACCAGCTAAACCAGCTCCAGCCCCAGCTCCTTCTCTCCACTTTGTTTTGTTCCATCTCTCAAGGCTTGGGGCTGTTTTTCCCCAGCTGGTGATCATTCCTAACATCGTCTTCCAGCCCACATTCTCCTCCTTTGCCATCCCATTGTGAGGTCAGGATACATTTGTGACAAAGTTTCCATGGCAACAGACTGATGACATAAACATAAGCTGAGGATTTCTCTGCAAAGCGGGAGGAGCAGGAGATGGGCTGCAAGGGAGCTGCTCCTCAAACAGCTCTCTTCAGTAATAGCTGTGGGAATAGAGAACATTACTGGCAAAGTAAATTGCTTTTTGTGAAAGTGTTCTCTTTTTTTTGAAGTTTGCCCCCATGCGAAAGTCTCTAAGTCAGAACCTGCCCATTATTTTAATGTGCTGCTCGGTATTTAATCATCCTCTGCCTCAGACACCAGTCTGTTGCCATGGGAATGACGGCCGCACAAATACGGGATTAGGGCTATCAGGCAGCACAAGAGAAATTATGAATAAGCCAGTTACATTCAATAATTAGCAACTCTATGAAAAACCCCAAAATCATGAATTTGGATGGATGTGTTTATCTCAGTGTTTGAATACAGCGAGCGGGTGCTGCTGCTCCGAGCTGGGATTTACACATCACACACACAGTGTGTGGGGCTGAGCAGGTCCTACTTGGAACATAATTTATCTTGGTCCTGTTCCTGATTTTTATTTCTCCCCCCTCCACAGACTTCTCCACAGGTCCAGATTCTCCCAAGACGGGCAGGTGCCCATCACCTCCCAAAACCCATCCTCTCTGTTCCTCTCTGAAGATGCAGCCTGGCTGTCACAGCACTGGGTTCCCGAGCTCAGGAGGGCATTGCTGGAGCAAGAAACATCTCCTGCACGTCCAGACCAGTCTGCTCAGGGCATGAGCCGCAGCTCACTGCAGTAAATTAAAGCTTTTAATGCTTCCTTTTTCAAAAAAATGGAAAAAGCTTTCTGCTTTAATTGCAATTAGTTACAGCACCACCAAATAATTGACCTCAAATGGCACCTGCAGCAAAATCCTGTGTTATTTAACCAGGATCCCAGGCAAAGACACACCGGGAGCAGCTGTGCCCACTATGAGATGCCTCTGTTTTCCTGCAGTGTGCCCAAGACTTTGGAAAAGGAGGATCCTCACCTCTGCACTCAGCTGGCTGGTGGTGGTTGTGCCTCTGGTAAAATGCAGCACCCTCAAACAACGAGCTAAACCCAGGGAAGTGTCCTGCAGGAGAGTCACCAAGGTGAAATGTCTCCCCTTAACTAAAGGAGGGGGATGCTTTGAACAGGACTTCCAAACAAACTCATTGCCACAGACACAGCCTGCACAGCCAGGCTGCTCCAGCCAGGTTTGAGGGTTGCTGCTTCATCCTCTTTATTCCTGGTGGGAGCCTCTACCCACAACAGGCAGGGACTGTGGGTCCTCACAGCCCAGAAAGCCAAAGGGAACTGATTCTTCTCCTCTGGCTTTGCTGGGGAGGGCCAGGTTTGTGTCTGCACCACAGAAAGTCTCGTTCTTGGAGCCTGAAATGATCTGATGCTCGCCAGCCTGCACTCCTTATTCACCTGAGATACTTCCCTCTTTGCATATCTGTTGCTATTAAAATTCCCCTTCCAGCATGTAATTCCCTCTACTAGCTTTCCTTGCTTATTAGAGAAGACAAAAACTATTCGGCGAATCTGATCAGAGAGATCTCATTTTCTCCAGGCACTCCTCTGAATTTAATTCTAGATTAAGCATTATTTAAAAAAACAACAAACCACCCCTGCTGCCTCCTACCTCCTCACACTCCCTTTCAACACGAGGCTGGAGAACACTCCCAAGCCCAGGAATCAAGCTGCATTTAAAAATTACTCCTTGAAGAGTAACACTCCTAAATATACCATGGAAAATCAAACAGAAATCACAAGAAGGGAAAGGCTGTTTGCATTTTCACTGTGGGGTTGGGAAAGGAAAAGTTCTGAGTCCTCCTTTGCTCACCCAAACAGGAGAACCCCTGAAAACCTCCAAAAGCTGTTGAAACATTTTTATCTTATTTTTTTTACATGCCACCACCCATCATTTCTAGACTTACTAACGAAGCATCTCCCGGCTGACAACTGCCTGATCCACTGCCAGAGCTGGTACCTGTCCCCTGCTGAACACCAGCGTTCAAATCCCGCCTCTGAACGTGTTCACTTACCTAAAAAAAGCCAGGAAAACACAAAAATTAGCACAAATGCAGCAACTTGGATTACACAACGCTGGACAAAGACAAGTTTCAATCCAGGGAGGTGTTTACAGCTGCTCCTCCAGTTCCACAAATTGAGAAGAAAACACCCAATCTCTTAAAGCCTCGGCCAAGTAAAGCCCCTGAAGAGGAGGAGAGGTTAATAAATACTGAAACAACCTTTGAGGCCTTTTTATTTATACCTACATACACACGAGCACGGGGATTTGACGAATAATACTCCTCAAATCACTCCTCCCATGTTAACACTCCGGAGTATTCACTTCCCCGGGCCTGAAGGAAATGGGTCAATTTTAATTCTTCAAACAATTCTTGGCGGCACAATAACTCATTCTTCAGGCTGCAGATACCGAGCTGTGCTCTGCTGAGCCGAGTCCCAGCACGGTGTGAGCACTGGGATGCAGCTCAGCAGGAAAGGGGGGGCTGCACCCCCCAAACAGGCCACCCGAGGAGCCTTTGCTGCCTTATCAGCCAACAGCAAAATCCACTTGAAACCAAAAACAAAGGAAGGAGAGTTGTGGGAACTCCTGATTGCAAAAAAAAAAAAAAGGCAAAGACATCTGAATACCTGCCTTGGCAAACACATCTTTTCACTGCTCACAGTCACCTCTAAAAGCACAGACCTGTGACTGGTGACATTGAAACCTTCTCCCACCACAGGGACTCCACAAACAGTCACGGGCCCTTGGAGACACTCCCGGAGCGACACTCGGGTTTCCCCAGCTCGGGAACAGCCCAGTGCCACCTCTGTCAGAGAGGCACGTTTGACCACTTGCCAAGAGGACGATTTTGGCAGGTACTCTGAGGTCAGTGGTTCTCCTTTTGAGCCTCTGTTTTGATTTTTTTTTATTTCCTCTACAGCACCAACTGCAAACGCAGCAAAGTGTCACACAGAGGGAAACCACCCGCTGCTCCCACGTCATGAGCCACGTGCACAGAGGGATTAACAGGAATTAAAGCAGATATAAGTAGATGCCTGGGAAAAAAAAAGTTTCCTTAAATATAATACTTCAAAGGCTCCGTGTGTTTAGGTGGCAA